ATGTTCTAAAAAGTTGATTGAAAACAAACGTCATTGAACAGATTTCACTGCACTCATCAACTTGACAACTTGCCCGCACAATATGTCAGTCACGTGAAAATACACATGATATTAACGTTGCAATATTGACCAATCAACGCCAAGGTTTTCCTGGTAGTTGAATATATTAGTGTAGTATGATAATTACGCTCCGGTTAGTGGTTGTTGCATTGGCATATATGCATAATGTACATCGTACAGTGGCACCGCGCCGTATGTTGGGCCGTAGCCGGGAGATCGGGAAGGGCTGCCCGCTGGGGTATGGTGTATCAGATGACCCGCCTGTGTACGTACATACGAACACAACAACGATAACCATAAAAAGAAGTGTATTATTTTCGCCGCGACTAGACGTTTGTTGAATGGTGTTTGTATGCACAGATCCTCTACACAATATCTGTGATGTATGATTGTCATGACGGGACATGCAGAGGTAAAATACAAACATGACAAAAGGGCACGCTGGCCAAGTTGGCCGCTACGTGTGTATTTTTTGAAGGGGCATTGCGGCCAAGTTGGAAGGGCATGCGGTCATTGGCCACAGTGGCCGCTGTAAAGATCGAGGCCTGATAGCGATGACTTTTCGGTTATGCACCCAGCAACTTCTTGTATTTCTTGCCCTGTTTCTTTGTCAGTTCGTTCTGTTACTTCCACACTTGCATATTGAGCTAGATAGCCCTATGAACAAGAACAATACAAGCACTATCAAACTAATCCTAGCGCAAGTGCGTTTGTGAGGGGAGATTCCAGAAATACCTAACTTACGCAACAACAGCTTGATTCCATGTGACTTAGTGCGCGTTACATAATCGCCAACATGACATGACAATCTGTCTATAGGCATCGCAATTTGGGCTTCTCAATGCACGCTGCCTAGCAAGGGCTTCCATAAACCACCTTGAACATCTATCCTGTATAACCACACACCTGAGACTACCGGCTTTTCTCAATTTGTTTTTTTTCATTTCCCGGACGAGCCCCCATTTGTCACATTCCCTGGTTTGCTCCTCCCCAAGAAATATAACCCTCAGTAGTCTGGAACACCGTCACACAAAATAAATTGTCAAGTGAATTGACATTTTATTTTTTGTGACAATTTATTTTGTGTGATGGTAGTACCAGACTTCTGAGGGTCATATTTCTTGGGGAGGGGCAAACCAGGGAATGTGACACTGACAGTTGGTTGCAAACTGTTCTGGTCCTGCACATTACTTATGACACAGGAAGTATTGACAATTCCCTACTTTAAAGTAAAATACGTTTCTATTCTTGATAATATGCTGTGAATGTTTCTCGTTACCAGTAAGGTGTTTCATGGTAATATGCGCCAATCACAAGATGAAAATCAAATTAAGTTTCGCCCTTCTCGGACGTATACTATACACTGTTTACTCAGTGTGTTAAGGGCCTGTCACATTATATGCGATCTCATAGGAGACCTTACGGCGACCAAAAATATTTCATAAATTTATGCGAGGACATAAAGAAAATGCAGCCAGGACACAAGAAAATGACAGCTTTCTGTATCAAAGATTGATATTATTGATCAGTCTGAAGTCTGAAGGCAAAGTATAAGTTGTCCCCAGAGTATAAATAATTGCAGCTGAAACGTTCAGTGAGTTCAGAATGAAAAAAAATGGCAGTATTGATGATAACCATACAGAGGACCTTGCCTGCTCGCTTGGGACAATTTGGCAACTGTGCTGATTGCTTGCACACTTTAACTACTACAAAGATGTACAAAGCAAGAGTGGCTACCAAACAGGTAGTGTTGGTAACGAAATTAATCCAAAAAATGATGTCTTTAAAGACAGTCTCTGGCAAGAATATAGGAATCACACCAACAATAATTGTTGGCACCCAGAGTCCTGCTGATATCTTTGCTGCTCGAGATTTAGAGGCTTTTTCCTTGAATGTCAGAGGATTACGCACTGCAGAGAATCCCTCAGCTGCTATGATCTCTACAAAATAACTAGAAACAATAACAAATATGTAATTGAATCCCAGGACATACCCTTATTTTGTTTTACCGTTTTGGATTTCCTCAAAAACAAAAACCGTGAACGAACTATTGACCGTTTTGTCATTTTACAGTTTTGTAAAACGGTCAAACGGTATTAAGTCGACACACAAAAAATACTTTTTGCTGTTGTTTTTAATTGTAGAAAGCGTTAAACGGTTAGTTGCTTTATTTTTAGAGTGTTGTTTTACAAAATCATGACAATGACAAAACGGTCAATAGTCTTGCCGACCAACTTTTTTGGATTTAGGTTTGGCAATTAAGCAATGCTCCAAGGAATGTTAATGCGTCCTTGGGATTGAGTCATTGCCTGGGCCCTCCTTACATTTTCGTTCTCACAACAGAATTTGCGAATTAGCTATTGAAGAGCCACGTCGACTTAAACTCCAATTTCCTTCAAAATATCTGCAACTTCATCTAACGTCTTACCATCCTGTATCCATTGTGAAAAGTAAAAGTGCCCTCCCTTGCAGTTTTCCAGCGCCATTTTTGCTTGCAACTCTTTAAGCCCCACCAACTGAATCACATGAGAAGGGGTCAGGGTCCGCGCCAGGAATCACACCACGCATTAATTATGCCGAGCCAACACTCGTGTAAAGCAGGGTCCCCCTCCACCCCCTTGCCCACCGCCACAAAATGCACCACGGACTGTTAACTATGACACTAAAATAAAAAAACAGTGTGTATTCAATACTGACCGTTTTGCTGTTTTTCAAAGTTATTTGTGTAAAACTGTAAAACAAAAATAATGGATCGTTGTGCTATGATGAATTTTCCTAAACTTATAAAACGGATAAACCGTATTTATCTTAATACTGTTTGTCGTTTTATAAAACTGTAAAACGACAAAACAGTCAATGGTTCGTTTACTGTTTTTGTTTTTGAGGAAATCCAAAACGGTAAAACGAAATAACGGTATGTCCCGGGATTTATTTGACACTCTGGAATGCTTTGTACACTTGGGATGAACACAATACAAATATATATTGAGTCATAAGGAAGAGCAAGTCAGCCACAGCCAGATTGGATAAGTAGATGTTGATGATTGTACGCATTGACTTCACTCGAATGACTGTGAAGAGAAGTTTAAGAGGAGGCCGATTGGTGCATTGATTTCAGTAATTAACCATGGTATTTGTTAATTTCTTTTATGAGTCTTGATAAAGTTCTCAAGGTGCTTTTCAACTTCATCGTTCTCCATATACAACATTTGATTCAGATGTAGCAAAGAGTGTTCTGTCCTATTTCAAGATCACTCCAGTTTTATACTAACAGCGAATATAAGACCTGGAGCAATGTGTAATTGAAATAAAAAGCTTCTGCATTTTTTCCCCTTAGTGTTTCTTTATCTCTAAGATTTGTAAGGATAAGTTCTTTGTTCCTTGTTTTGAATGCATACTAAACCAAAGTTGACATTAGAGTTTCACAGTTGACTTTGGCATACTTTTTTACATGTTCATTGTGTAATCCGTCACTAAGGTTTTGCTCAAATCTAGGTTATGCCAAAAAAAAGAGGTTTTTTTTCAATGAAAGATGATGTCTCAAAACCGCCAAACTCAACGGTTTGACTGGAATCCTGCTGCTGCACAATTTTAACGTGTTTTTAGATGGGGTTATGGTCGAGAAGAAGCTTTATGTGGCCTCTCTGGACTCCCATACATTTGCACTAAGTTTAGTCGGGCACCATTTGCAGTCATCAGCCGACATTTGAAGCAACAAACCAGGTAAAAAAAAAAAAAAAATAGCCGCGTCGCCACACCACTTTTTGGGCAAGCTCCATACCAGAAACTGGAGACTTTTTTTTTGGCCTTTCTTTAAAAAAGGTGAAATGGCACTCTGCACTTTTTACATGTAGAGTTTTGCAGCTCATAAAAGATCACAGACATAACGTAACGCTTGAATTATCTGTAACTGAATAAAATTAGATGCAGATCAAAAAATGACACAAAATCTTTCAGGTCGTTCACTACATTTTGCTTACAACATATTTATTTATTTCTCACATATAGAAACTTGACACAAGCTTTAGATTTGGTGTTTGGATAATCAAGAAAGACATTTAAAATACAGATACAACTGCATCAACAAAGATTTGAAACCATGGAATTCCTACACTGTCTTGCTTGAAATTGAAAGTGTACTTAGATTTCTGCTATCAAATGTTATACTAAGAAATTACCCATGATTGGCTCCCGTCCGTACATTATTGATACTGATTGTGAGGGGGGGGGGGGGGGACCAGCCCATCCAGCAAGAACAGAAATTATGTTTGGCAGCCAATAATTTAGAATTGTAAAGTAATAATTCAATAACTGAACGTGAGCCTTTTTGTGTTTAATGTTTCATTCAAAAGTGAGTAACTTTTGTATTGCTTGAAAAATAGCAGATTGGTAAAGAAATATATTTTTCGGGATGAAACTTGAAAATTCAGTACCTCATCTGGCATTTGTTGAGCAAAACTGTTATGTGGACAGTTTTCCTTGTTTTTTTTCCTAGAAGGTACAGCATTAAAGGTGGCATGTCTGTGTAGAGTGTGTGTGCGATTCACAGTTTCAGATGATTCTTATTTTATCTGATAAACTGTCTAAGTTGAACACATTACCCTCATTGTTTCAAGTTTAATCTTTAATTTGCTCATGCACTACCAGAACTATGTACATTGTACTGTAGTTAGAAGAATGGTTGTATGTAGAAAGATGACAAGTTCCACACCCAATCCATTACCCTTTGGAGATACGGTGGACACAATACGAGGGCTCTATTTGGTTTGGGTCTAAGTCTATTGCATAAGTTACCCCAATATACCCAAATCAAATAACACCCTTGTATTGTGTCTGCCATATCGCAAAAGGCTTAGAGCAGTTGAGCTATTCACTTTTTCCAAAATTGTTAAGACTCTGGAATACTGAATGTGCTTTTCACATCTTTTCCCAATCTACAGGTTAAACAACATGGTGACTCCACTGTGGAACCAGCCGTATGAGGACCAGCTATCCACCAAATAGACCAACACCAGGGAGTTTCTGAGGAATTTATCCAAGATGCTGCAACGGAACATTGGGGAGATGTCTCCGTGGCTGAAGCAACAAAGGTGAGCTACTCACCAAAGACACAGGATGGTTGTGGGCCAGAATGGAAATGTGATCTTCCTTGACAAGAAACTGTTTCCAGACACAGTTTTCTGGCAAGTGAACTTACATGTACAGCTGCCCTGAAATTTCGTTAAAAGTCCAGAAAAAGATGCCTCATTTTTCTTGAGAATCAATTAAAACTCAGCAAAGTTTTAGCCAACTTCTGTAATAAACTTCCTTTCCACACACAAAAGTCCCAAAGATTAAAGGGGGGGGGGGGGGGAGGAAGTTGGTAAAAAAAATGTTTACAAACAAAATGCAAAAAAATGAACATAAAACCAAAACTTCACAATTCATAAGCTGCTCGAATGGGACTCGCACCAACAATCTCCTGCTTCCTAGTGCAGATGTCTCAACTACTTGACCACCAGGCTTGCTGGGGTTGGCTGGCTGGTCCCAATCTGATATAGCAGGTGCCACAATCAATGAGTTTCATTAATTGTTTACGTAGGGGAATGTGAATGTGAATACCTGGTTTTGACCTTCACCAATGTAAATTTGAATGCACTGAATATTCAGTGCTGTCTGAGAGCTTACGAGCAAAGATTCTTCCAGCTTGCTTGGGTGGGATATGAACCCATGACCTCCTGCTTACTAGTGCAGACATCTTAACCACTCAATAACAGAGCTTGCAAAGGTTAGTGGGCCAGTTTGAATCGTGTGTATATATGGCTTTGGTTACCACAAGAAATTCACAAGCCTGTTGGAGTGGGATTCGAACCCACACCCTCATGTTGAATAGTGCACTCTTCATTTGATTGACAGGAAGAACCACAGTGGGATGGCATGTGAGTTGGAGCCAATTAAGCCATCGGTGAGTAAGCTAGGTTACAAATCGTCGCATATCTGACGAACCGACAAATACGCGCGATTACGCGTTAACGCAATTCTGCGAAAAACGCGTTTAAAGTTGAACACATTTTACGTGTCCCTTTTCGATGCTACTTTCCCCTTTTGTACATTCTTAATTTATTCAAGGTAGTTATTTGATTGTTAAAATATATCTATTAATTTGTTTTTTGCTCGTAAGACTAAAGGTTTGTCTAATTTTTGCTGTGAAACTTATTCGTCACTTCGCGAGATAGATTTAAACGTCATTGTGCTTATTCGCCACGTAAAAATGTCTAATTCGTCACTTTGTAAGATAACATTTTGACTGTGCGCGCGTTTTTGCATCACAAATCCATTGCATATTCGTCACTTCTTTACAACACTACGCGCATTTTCAAAGAAATGTGTATGTTTTACAAACATTATATATTTTCTTTTAAGGAAAAAATATGGTAACACTTAAACCCCACGTTCAAATCCAAGTACTTGCTATAATGTTTTAATAATATACATTAGCCTAATAAAAAAGTTATTAAAAAGGAAAATATCTCGAATGGACGCAACAAAATAGTAGGAACACAAAACTGTGAATGCGAACTAACGACGAACAACACTATTTATTCATTCATTCATGTAAGACAGCAATTGTTTTAAAAACAATCAGTTTTGTCTCAAAATCCCGTAATTATTGTCTTCCAGGGTACAATAATCTCAGTAACGGCTTGTTATCCTTAGGCATTCTGCTTTCATTAGCCGCTTAAAGGGCTCCGTTTTCGAGAATACAAAACCTGTATCTCGAAATGCAGTATTTTGGGTATCCTATAAAACGTCGTCTTTGAAAGAAAGTGTACCGCACACGATGAAATAATTTATATTTTTATTTCATCTTCCTAATCATCACTCACCAGCTAGGGCACACGTTATTTCAGTATAGGCTCATTTCAATGAGGTTTTTCTGCTCTAATTAGCCACTTAAAGAGTGTTTTGGGTTTCCTTAAAAATGCCGTCTTTGAACGAAAATCTACAAATAAAACATATTTTTATGTCATCATCCTAAGCATCACATTCCTTGGCACTCTTCATTTTCATTGTGGGCTTATTCCCATGAGGTCTTATGCTCAAATTAGCCACTTAAAGGGGTTCCATTTTCGAGAATATCTCGAAATGCAGTATTTCGGTCTCCCATTGAACGCAGTTTTTAAAGAAAGTGTACCGCACATGTTTTAAATAAATAATATTTTCATTTAATAATCCTATTTTCAACTTCTAGGGTGCACTTCAGTTCAGTATTGGTTTATTCCAATAATGTATTCTGCTTTAAGTAGCCGCTTAAATGGACTCCGTCGAAATGCAGTCATAATGCTTTCCTATGAAACGCCGTTTATGAAAGAAAGTGGACCGCACGTTTAAAAAAAAATATCCTAATTTTCATCCCCTAGGAGGCACTTCATTTCAGTATGGGCTGATTAAAATGAGGTTTTCAGCTCTTATTAGCCACTTAAAGGGGACCGTTTTCGAGATTTTCTCGAAATGCAGTAGACCTTTTGTGGAATTCCTATAAAACGCCGGTTTTGAAGGAAAGTATATCGCACGTTTTAAATGAATCCCAGTCTGTATAAGCCTGTCCGTCGCGCAGTCCTAGCCTAGTACATTTTGTGCTCCGTTCATTTTAGGATTACAACTCTACATACACAAAATTACATAAAGGTGAAGTAGTAACGGTTATCTCTTTTTAGACATCATTATAATGTTGCAGCGCCGTTAGTTTGTTTTGAAAGCTGACGGAAAGCGCGCGAAACAGAAGATCCCTGGTTCCCTCATACGACATGCAATTATTAAGACGGGTGTGTGCGTAACCAATGAATAACTGGTTATTCGTCACTTCGTCAGATACTGGATGCGCGCTGTTCTGATATGACCAAGCGTCGAATAATTTATTCGTCAGTTCGCAAGACAATTTTTTTCCAATATGTGCCGATTCGTCACTTAGTGGGTTTCGGAACAACAAAAATGAAGTGTTTTCATGAATTAAAACCTAAAAATCTGAAAATTCGAATATTTTTAACCCTAAAACTCAATTAATAAAAAAAACTCCAAAATGACCGATTCGTCACTTCGTCCGATATGCGACGAAATATTTGTTGATAAAAATATAGATTTTATTTAAATTTATTTGTAGTATTGTGAATGATTTTATGAATTATAATCTCAATGATAGTTCACATTGGCACATAGTGTTAGGTTAGCTTGACTGGTGTGATCTTTGAACTCGGGTAGATAGATAGATAGAGTCACCTTACTTGTACTAAATTTATATTTCAACCTGGATTTCTTGTTAGATAAACTATACAGCATGTGAATCTTTTGTGGGGTAAATATTCCTGACATTGGAGATGTCTGATTTGTTCCTTTCATTTTCATTGTTTGTTTTCACACCTACAGCCAGTATTAGAGAGTTATCGCAACAAGTGTGAGTTTACCATCGGCAAGAGTGTAGATGGCATCGGTGAGTGAAACTGGCATTTATTTTTAGTTATCCAACCTCTTCATTTTTTTGTATGTATCCGCTCCGTTCACAAGCACCCCCTCGCCTGGATATAAAGTGTGCACACATGTACATAATGTGCCTGTTATGAAAACCGCAACAGAAAGTTTCGGGAATTTTTTTTCTCAGTTATTCCCCAAATTTCTTGTCAGGTCTTCATGAAACTTGGCCTGGGTAAATTGTGCAAAAGTTTCAGTTTCATGTCTTATTTTCATTGACAGATAACACTGTTGGTTTCCGGCTTGGCGCTTACAAAAGCAAGTATTTTCACAGAGGTTTCCATTTTGCAAAAGCCGTAGATAAGCGTTCATGTTTGATTGGATCAGCTGTGGAGGGGCGTGGCCCATTAGTAGCCAATGCTGATCAATTCCAACCAATCAGAATGCAACACACAGAAAGATTGACAGGTGTACATATTGTGCATTGTCTAATATGTCTGTCAGGAATTAATTATTGGAAAGAAACAAGCCACAAAAGACTTAAACCCTTGTCATCCCCTTTGCTGACCAATATGTTGGCTTACTTTTGTGGCATGAATATTGAGGGTATATGTTTGTAATTCCAACATTGTCCAGCAAGCTCTTTTACTCAGTAGGGATTTTTCAACAATTACATTTGTACAAGCAAGAATTAGGTTTTAAATAAAAAAAATCAGGAAAATCACTGTTTGTTTAAATGTTGCTAGTGTACACTTTTATTTATCTTATCACTGATCTTGCTTTTACACGCAAATTTGTTTGCCCTATAAAAAGTATGTGACATTTAGAAACATGGTTTGCCCTGCAATTTTTTTCCTAAGTATTACTAGGTATCAGAAAGACGTAAGAGCTCAAACACTGATTTGGTGATAGTACATTTCTGTATTATTTGTGTTTAGAGTTTTAAATTACACAAGGAAATTGCAGCTTTAATGAACATATAAAAAGCAGCAATTCCTCGGATACTGTGCAAATTAAGATACATCTTGTACGATGCTAACTTTACAACGACATTCATATTTCACAGCATTGATTTTTCAATTTCCCAAATTTGAAGTACCCTTGAGTCCATCTAAGAGAAATATCAGAATATTGCTTTGCATTTAAACATCATACAGACATGGAGCTTATAATGTAATACAACAGACCAGTGGTGCTACACAGAATATGTACAATTATAGAGCATGCAAGTCTCGCCAGTTCACATTCACTTTTCATGTAAACATCTTGGTGCCAAACACTGACTAGTCTGGCCACAGACTCCCGTCTTTGAATTCAACCAATGAATGGATGTGGAGGTCAACATTTTTTCAATTTACTAAAGTAATCAACTTGCAATATTGTTTTAATGTGTTGGAAATTGGAATAATGATTTCTTGTTCAGAACCCATTCTTTGCCCTTGACTGGATAAACCTACATGTAGTAAAATCACCTAGGTTTTTGAGGGCAAGTTGCATGCTCTATTGACAGAAGTGGAGTCGAAATTGCTGACTTTAACTATCAACCAGCTAGTAGCTGTGAAGACACCTTTGATACACCAGACTTAAATTCCATACTGTACATCTAAAGCCTACAATGGTCTCGTATGTGCTCTGCAGCAAAACGTCTATTCAATTGGATTTCTCGTTGCTAAAGATAGAATTCAAGAAAGTTTGTACAAATATTTTACACTTTATTTGGTTTTCAAAAAGTATTTGGTATTTGTATTTGGAATCAGATGCTCCTAATGCATAACTTGCAACTTTGTTGATCTGTTACTTAGGCTGTGTCTGAAACAGGCTTCTAGAGCTATGGCTACGGCTATTGTCAGGTTGTTCCCATGTAACTGTAATGGATGAAGACCTAGACAATAGCCATAGACATCTCACTTGCTCATATTAGACTTTAAAATAAAATAGCAATTTAGTCGTTTTTTCTTCTCTAATCGGAGTTGGTCTTTTTAATCTGTTCATTTGTGCATCAGGTCTTGACCCACAAGAGAACCATTTCACCAGCACCTCTGACGTACCGGTGACTGGCGATGCCATAACGGATCCTTACCGCTATCTGACGCAAACAGCACTTCACCTCAGAGATCTTCAAGATTAAGATCCAAAACCTCCCAAGACACTTTGGATGTGCGGTGAGTTTGCTCTCTAAGCATTCAACCCTTGATAACGATAATCATACAGTTTTGTGCTCTTGTAAGAGTTCATATTGTGCTCCATGGTTGGGATTTCTTAAGGTCTTTTTATGCATCAGAACTGATTAAAAGGCCATTGAATGAATTTCATTAGCCTCATTTTTATATGAAAGTAATGGTTAACAACTAGATACTAGGTAATTTTTTTCCCCAGTTCACTTTTTACAATGCCAGTACACTTTAAGAGTTGTTTCTAATGTAGCTGTGAAGTTGAACTAGTTGTTTCACATTTACAGCTTTGGGCTTTTCTGTGTAATATGAACCTAACATTCATTGCATTGTGCATTTATACATGTACAAAGCAGTTTGTACATTAAAGCATCTCATTGGCTGCATCATCATGCCATGTGCTAAATGAGCGCAACAGTCGCATCAAACTCGACCAAAACACTTTTGTAATTTTTTTGTCATCAAACAGCAGTGGCCCTGAAGTTCCAGCTCATGACATCACTGCACTGTTTCGTGAAAATATTTAATCGCCTGGAACATCCTAAGACTTAAAACGCAGAGGTGGATTTCATAAAATCAAAAACTGAAATATGTTTCAAAGGCACCTAAAAAATTACATACTTACTGTGGAAAAATGTCGGGTGTATCCTATATGTTAGTGCCAATATGTGTATATTTTCACACTGAAAAAGTAATAAAAGAAACTTGTTCTTTTAAACATACACGAAAAGCTCATTAAAGTAACAATTAACATAGGCCCTAATGGGATTTGTAATTTTTGAACCACTTGCATACATACATTGAATGAGTTCCAGCTGTTCGCTTCACTGATAGTTGGTTGCAATCTGCTCTGGGCCTGCACATTACTGATGTCATGGCAGGTTCAGGTATTGGCAATCTGCTTAACTAAAATACATTTGAACTCCAGCATCCTGTGCTTTCAATATTTCTTGACATCAAATCTACTTGGCATTTCAGTGAAGAAGATGTATGAAAAAGCCTTAAATCTGCTCTACAGTTAAACACTACACAGCTCCCCTTACGTGGATGGCTTGCACTCATCAGTTACCAGAAAACATTGTTCTTGACAACTTTTGAACGATTGACTCCTTTCTGGTTCTGGATGTGCATACTGCTGCCCTTGTGCTGATGGCTCGGTGCCAGTCAGCCCAGGACATTGTTCCTGAGTACTTGCAAGTGACTGCTGGCTCTCTGCTGGTTCTGGATGTACACACTGTTCCCCTTGCATGGATGGCTTGCAGTCAGTCAGACTTGAGCATTGTTCCTGATGAGAACTTGCAAGCGCTGGGGTCCCTGCTGGTTCTGCATGTACCTCAACATGCACTTGAACATGCTGCTGACTGTGCATGGATGCCTTGCTGCTGCCTTGCCTGGAACATTGTTCTTGACAGCTGTCCAGTGACTGCTGACTCGCTGTGTGTTGTGCATGCCCTTGGCTTGGTGGCTTGCTGTTGCTTGGCCTGGCAGCACGGTGCTCTTGGTCATTTTCTGCCTGTGGAATCACATGAAGCTCAATGTGCTTCCCTGTCTGCGATGGTCGGCTGGGATTCCGTCTTGGGCAGTAACGACAGCACAGTCTGAGGAATGAGAAAGCCTTGACTACAGCTTCACGATAGTCAGCATTTGTGGCACTGTAGACCAGGGAATTGATTGAGCTATTGATAAGTTGGAAGATCGCTATGCATGTTATCAGAATATTAAGTTTTTCTCCAAGTTTTAGAAATTCAACAGCCTGGGAAAGCACGCTTTTAGAATAAGTCTCTGCCACACTGAGAATAATTGAAGCTGCAGTGTTCAATGAGTTCAGAATGAAGAAAACAGCAGTATTGATGATAACCATACAGAGGACCTTGCCTGCTCGCTTGGGACAGTTTGGCAACAGGGCTGATTGCTTGCGTACTTTTACTACTAGATAGATATACAAACCAAGAGTTGCTATTAAACAGACAAAGTTGATAGTGGAATGGGTCCAAAAGATGATGTCAGTGAAGACGTACTGTGTTATTGGTAAGAATATCAGAATCACACCAACAATAATTGTTGGCACCCAGAGTCCTGCTGATATCTTTGCTGCTCGAGATTTAGAGGCTTTTTTCTTGAACGTCAGAGGATTGCGCACTGCAGAGAATCTCTCAGCTGCTATGGTAACCACAAAGCAATTAGAAGCATCAATGAACATGTTCTCCACACATGTGAATGCTTTTTGCCCTAAAAAGCTGTACTCTATGGGTGACCACAATGCATACATAAATTCAGTCGTGAGAAAGAGCAAGTCGGCCACAGCCAGATTAGATAAGTAGATGTTGATGATTGTACGCACGGACTTCACTCGAATGACTGTGAAAAGAAAGACAAAGTTTAAGAGGAGGCCAATTGGCACAATGATTTCGGCACTTAACCATATTATTTGATTACTTCTGTCTCGACTCTTGTAATAGTTCTCAAGATGCTTTTGTAGTTCATTTGATGGAGTGGAGCTGTTTTGGTAGCCATCATCCATACTTCATGTACAGTGTAGCATTGATCTGCATATCCAACATTTCATTCAGATACAACAATACAACAAAGTGTGTGATACTGATCACTCAAGTTTTATACCAAAGGAATACATGTAACACCTACAGAAATGGGTAGTTGAAACTGAAAGTTCATGATACTGTGTCCCTTTCCCCCCGCTTTCCTCTAAGACATATTGTAATGCACGTGACATATCTCATGACAGCAGTAGCTGTAACCAAAGAAGACAACTCAGTTTCGTTATTACTGGCATTGACATGAAATCTGAGAATTAAATGGGTTTCAGTTTTAATTATTTGCTCCAGATTATACATTTGTTCATGCAAGTGTTTAAATTTGTTCATGTTACTGATTATGGAAAGTAACACCCACACGAAACTTTGTTAATCACTAACTGCAAATTTTACATTGGTATAAACAAGTACAACGTAGGTAATTAAAAAAATGACAATTTTCATTATTAAAAATACATGCTGTATTTGCTTTTCAAAATGCAACAATGTCCTACTCTTGGATATTGACTTATTTAAACATACTTGTCCATTAATTCATTCAGTGTTTCCTTTCTGTTTGATTATCAATTTGATCCGACAAGGAATGAAGTAAAACAGTTTTCATTTTTACATCACAAAGTGATTTTTTTGCTCATCTGCTGCTATTTCTTTCTGTCTGAGGCTGTTGGTTGTCATTTGAAATCAGTCTCTGCCTTGCCTGACAATCAAGTTGATGTTGTCATATTTTGTTTTGTTGATGGAACATCTT